CTTACATTGGAGGTGCTTTCCATTCATAAAAATCAAAATTTGTGCAATTTAAACTAATCACCAAAAGGAAACATGTCTGTAGCCAAACGTGGAATGAAAAATGTCACTATAGTCTATTGTTTCTCTATCATACCCTTCCTATTTTGCTGACAAATCCTACTGATGACTCATATCCTTCTGTACTAACTCTTCGTTCCGTTCCCTCATGATAGGCCTTTCACCAACAATGGAAAGTAGAAAACACACCAATTTGAGTGCTTCCCTGGCAAGCGCAAGGGCCTGAGTTCAATCCCAGGTTCAGTTAAAAATAAATAAATAAAAATAAATAAATAATTCTGTGGGGCTGGAGAGATGGCTCAGTGGTCTAAAGCACCTACTTAGAACAAGCTTAACAAAGCACAGGGACCGCAGTTCAATCCCCCAGCACCACATGCCAGCCAGCTGCGCCCCCTGGTGGGCTGAGCTGGCCACACACATACACACACACACACACACACAATAAATAAATGTTAAAAAAAAAAAAGAAAACACACCAATTTGTCTTGCTACTAAAAACAATAAATATCAAGTATGTATATAAATCCAATTTACAAATACAGCAACAGTACAACCTAGCAAAACTGTCCCATGAAACACGTATACTAGGGCCGAGGAGATAGCTCAGTAGAATAAGCACTTGCCTAGCAAGCGCAAAGTTCAATTCCTGGTACCCAAAAAAAAAAAAGTATGCTCCAAATTTAACTAAAGGACAAATGGAAGAAAGCAGACCTGATTGGAAATTTGAATTCTTGTCAAATAACACATTAGTTAAGAGCCAACATTTTTAACCACAGCAGAAATAAAAATAAAAAGTAATTTATCTGATCTGCTAAAACAAATATATCATAAGTGCATTTGATGCCAAAAGAACCAACATTTTCTGAGAATGAAATTTTAACTCAAAAATACTATGAAAGGAATTAAAGATACCATTCTTGAAAGATTAAAAACTGCTTTAGGGGCTAGGGAGATGGCTCAGTAGAATAACCACTTGCCTGGCAAGCACAAGGGTCTGAGTTCAATCCCCAGTTTCGCAAAAAAAAA